GTGGGGACGCCCCTACCGGATGGTGCGTGATAAGCTCCGCACCTGGGCGCCCCCACTGACTCAGAGTCTCCGGCCGGAGGTCGTGGACGAAGTGGTTGGGGCGCTATTCCCCCGACCACAGATGGGTTACACGCCTCCGGCTATGCCCCCGCCCCCTGCGGTGCCCAATGCGGGCTACATCGACGACGACGACGAATCCGCTCCGGAAGTGACCGAGGTAGATTTGAGAGTGGCGGTGCGCCGGCTGAGCGGCAAGAATACCGCCCCAGGACCTGACGGGCTGCATGCCAAGGTCTGGGTCCTGGCCTCGGAGGCTCTCAGGCCTCGACTGCTTGGTCTGTTCAGCGCATGTTTGGAGAGAGGCCAGTTTCCGCTGTCGTGGAAGACGGGTAAACTGGTCCTCGTGAAGAAGCCGGGGCGTCCTGCGGACTCTCCGTCCGCGTACCGGCCCATTGTGCTGCTCGACGAGGTGGGAAAGCTGTTCGAGAGGATAATCTCAGACCGCCTCGTCGGGCACCTGTCTGGAAGGGGGCCGGATTTAGCGGACGGCCAGTTCGGCTTCCGCAGAGGGCGCTCCACGGTGGACGCCATCATGCGCGTGAGGGACCTCACGACGGGGACAGCGTTGGCCGGGAGGCGAGTCGTCGTGGCGGTGTCTCTGGACATCGCCAACGCCTTTAACTCGCTGCCCTGGAGCTGCATTTTGGAGGCACTCCGGTATCACCGGGTGCCTGCCTATCTCCGTCGTGTAGTCGAGGCTTACTTGACGGACAGATGCGTCATCTACCCCGGTCACCGGGGCGTGTGGAATCGGCGAGAGGTGTCGCGCGGTGTCCCACAGGGATCGGTCCTGGGACCTCTCCTGTGGAACATCGGGTACGATTGGGTGCTACGCACCGACCTCCCGAGCGGCGTCAGCATTGTCTGCTATGCTGACGACACGCTGGTGCTGGCGAACGGGAGGTCGCATCAGGCGGCGGCCGACCTGATGTCACAAGCGGTTGCGACAGTCGTTGCAAGGATCCGGCAGTTGGGACTCGAGGTGGCGCTCCACAAGTCCGAGGCCATGTGCTTCTATGGCCGTCGGAGCGCGCCACCTCCAGGTGGGTCCCAAGTAACGGCAGGAGGAGTTACCATCGGCGTCGAGTCGGCGATGAAGTACCTTGGTCTCGTCCTCGACAGCCGATGGAACTTCACGGAGCATTTTCGTCGTTTGGCCCCTAAGTTGGAACGGTCTGGGGCCGCGCTCAAGCGGCTCCTTCCCAACCTCGGGGGGCCAAACGCCTCCTGCCGGAGGTTGTATATGGGGATTGTGCGATCCATGGCCCTCTACGGTGCCCCTGTGTGGGCGCCGGACTTGAAGCGGCGGCCGGCTCGTACGCTGGTCGCGTCCCAGAGGGTCATGGCTATACGAGTAATCCGCGGGTATCGCACGATCTCCGGGGAGGCGGCGAACCTCCTTGCCGGATCACCGCCGTGGGATCTAGAAGCGAAGGCGCTCGCGCGCGTCTACAGTTTGCGCGCAGACGCGCGTCGCCGGGGCGAAGATCCTCTGCCGCGCCAAATAAATGCGTGGCGGAATGAGCTCCGGCGAGATCTCATGGCAGAGTGGAGACAACGACTGTCGCAACCGAGGGCCGGGCACGCTACCATAGCAGCGGTAAGACCCCTCTTTGAGGAGTGGCTTGAGAGACGCCACGGCGTCCTCACCTTCCGTCTGACGCAGGTGCTTACCGGGCACGGCAGCTTCGGTAGGTTCCTGTTTCGGATTCAGCGGGAGGAAACGCCCGAGTGTCGTCATTGTGAGGACCACCTAGAGGATACGGTGGAGCATACGGTAGCGGTATGCCCTGCCTGGGCTGAGCACCGCCGTATCCTCAGGGAAGTGATCGGCGGCGGCGACCTCTCGCGCCCGGCCTTAGTCGAGGCCATGGTGCGGAGTGAGAGGAACTGGGACGCCGTCTCCTCCTTTTGTGAAGCGGTCATGCTCGCAAAGAGAGAGGCGGCCCGCGTGAGGGAGCAATCCTCCTCCTCACGCCCCAGCAGCCGCAACTGGCGACACTACGGGCGTCGGGGATCGAGGGACGATCTCCGGCCACCGTAAGTACGGGCCTGCGGTCGGCGAGTAAGGGCAGCTCGCCGCCCGACCAGAACCAGGCCCGAGCGTACGGCGCGTAGCGTTCCGCGCGCGCCTCAAAGAGCCAATAGACCACCACAGACGGGGCCCTAAAGGGCTGATGTTCAGCCGGGGCTGCGGGGTAAGCGCAATAAGGTACCGCGACCTCGGCACAGAGCAGGAGAAGGAACAGGGGGGTTTTTAGTCAGTAAGAGTCTGACACTCCCTCCTGCCCGGCCCTGGGCGGGAGAAGTCATTTGATGATTTTCCCCTCACAAAAAAAAAAAAAAAAAAAAAAAAACCTATAATATCTAGGCTTAAATATTGGTAAAAAAAAACAATTTATAAAAGTTACCTACTTACTTTTGCTAAACCAATTTAATACAGAAGTACAATAGTTAATTAGAATTTATACCTGCTATAGATACTGCGATGAAAAGCAGTGTTATTGCAGTCTATATATCTAGCTATCCGTTCCAATTTTCATCAAAATACATTCAAATTATAAACATCCATTTATCAATTTCTTCTTACAAACCTCGGTGTTTGTAATAGTAGTAGGATTACAAAACTTCAACATAAAAAATCGAAAGTTCTTTTGGCGCCCAATTGGGCCTTGTAATTGGGTTATGGGTATACAAATACATATATGGGTAAATATGTAGGTACATAGTCATTTGCAGTAATGACGAGCTTATTGCCTGCTAAACCATGAAAGCAAACGTTACCTATACCTTACTTAGATAAAAATTGATATATTTAAAGTACCTAATGTACCTAGTTAAGGAACAACCACAGCGTTATGTTTCGCCGTGTGAGTGAGGTTACCGGAGGCCCAATCCTTCCCCACCACCAATCCCTCCTCAATCCCTAAATATCCAAATCCCTTATCCCTAAAAGGTAGGCAATGCACTCGTAACTCCTCCGTTGCGGGTGTCTATGGGCGGCGCTGATTGCTTACCATCAGGTAATCCGTCCGCTCGTTTGCCGACCTAACACTACATAAAAAAAATAACAATAGTCATGTGGGAGGTAAATCCCGAACCCACGCTCAGCTATTAGCTTGATTGCCTGTATTAATTTAAAACAGCATTAATGTTTACGCTAGTATCAGATAAGTACCTACCTACGGCAGTAATCCTACTTAAGCTTTGGTCAAAACAATTCAGAACGCGTAGGTTGAATGGAGTGCTTATTCAAATAGGTTCATAACGCTTTTCGCTCTAGTGACGATATTGTTTGTTCTATTAATAGGTAGGTATACTAACATGTTTCCGTCAATTAATCTGTGGTATTTGCATTCCTTTTTCTAACTAGGTATTCTAACCGGTAGGTAACTAACTACCTATAAAATAGTATAGGACAGCAATCCAACATTTATAACTTTGCTAGCTTCGTAAAATTCGTTGTATTCAAAATACTAAAGGTGCGGTATTAGTGCTAGGTATAATTATTTCAACTTGATCACTTAGGTAGATACTGTTAGGTGGAATATCAAGAAATAGTCCTAGTACCTACCTACTTATGTATTCACGAGGACACTAGATTGTTTCTTTTTTATGAAATAAAGGGCTAACGGGTCACCGGATTGTATGTGATCAGCGTCCCCAAATAGGTACCGGCAACACTAGAGGAGTCACAAAAAGCGTTGCCGACCTTTTTAGAGTAGGTACGTATCTACGCTCGTTTCTTGTTCCCGAATTGATACAGCAATAGGTTACTTCGCTGTTAGAAATGTAAGGTTTGTATTTAGTACCTCTTCTTACTTCACAGTGAATGACTTAGTACCTAATAGATTTTATGAATATAGAGTTGGCATTTGTAGTTGGTAGCATTGATTTGCTTATACAACTTTGCATTGTAGCGACGATAGTGATAAGCTTCCTAGCTCCTAGCTGCGGTCACTCACCTCATGTGAACATGTTTACGAAGTTTATTACTAAGATATAGGTATATACCTACTTACCCACTGTGTAGTCTAGATGTATGTGGATCTCAAGATAGTGCTTCTTGCATGTTCTTATAACTTCTACTGAAAATGCTACTCAGCTAGGTAGGTACTTGAACTCCTGCCAGTTTTAATGAATTTATGCGTAGGTATGAAATTCTTAAACGATATCTGAACAATTTTAATGCCTGTTTGTTTTACCTATTTAAATTAAAAGTTTCCTTTTTAGAGTACCTAGCTAAAAAAATGAAGGCTAAGACAAAACGTACGAAACCTACATATAAGTTTTGGTATTTTTTTATTGATAACGCTAAAAGGTTATATTTAACAAAACCATTTGAGAGAAATTTGTTTTCCGTTATTATGATCTCATAATTTAACATTTATTTACCTACATAGTTCCTACTGTACGAGGTTGAAATAACAACAATACGTATAATAACAAGTTTGACTACTTTCGTCCTTTTAACATTTTACGCTAACAGGTAAATAAAACTTTCTTGAAATTACAACTTTTCAAAACTTTGATTACCGAACGACTACTCAAAACAATGAATTAGTGGATTTAAAATAAATACTCTATTCAGGTCAAACGAAACAAGAGTATCTCACAATTTTAGAAATCACGAGCGCAGTAAGTATGCTGTACGTATATCGTATGCACGTTGTAATACTCATTATCATAGCCAGTGCGTAAACACGACGCAATTAACGCAACCCACTTTTGTAAGAGCCGTCTACAGCATAACCGTCTCGTACTCTCGCATGTACGCATGTAGCTATAATCCACAATCAAATAACTTCCCTATAAGTGTTTGTACAAAGCCTAACCCGCTTATCAACGCCTTTCCTTATCAATACCACAATTCCCAATGAATTATATCAATTATTATTTTAACCTTTTACGTTTACTAACAAGTTTGTACAAGCACTATACCTTCATGTAACATTACATAAATAAAACACAACATGTTATCAATACAATTATTCCAAGATTGGCATAGATTGTTCTTTATTGTCCACTTCTTTTTGGATACAGCTACTTTACTTACAAATTATAATGCATACTGTAATAATAACTTTATGGGAAATCTATGATTTTGGATAATTACAAGATGTGCCATTTATATACTAGGCCTATACAAAACAAAGTTGCTGTACTTCACGGGTACGCAGTTGGGTGAAATAAAAACACCAAAATAGATTAATGTGCGGTTATAATATTATAAAATACTTTCAGCCTATCGAAACATAATCCTATGGGTTCTAATCGATATTTACATAGAAATATGAAAGGCGGGAGGACATTACAAATCTAAAAATGAGTGCCAGCAATATCCCGTGCCTGCCGACACTCTGATTACACCGGTTACTTATTATGCATGTTATCGTGAAAACAGTCAGTAAAGGCTCGCGTGCTCAGGTTAAGATTCGTGCCAACCAGGTCCCGAGCTGGTGCATGAATGTTTGTATACTCTTTAGAGTTCACAGACAGTCCTAACCTCAAAATTAGTGATTAATATCACATTTATAAGTTCCGGTCACTTCTAAACTTAAACAAATGCACCGCTCTGCGGTGACTTATCGTCGTGCGGTCGCGGCTCAGGGAAACCACGAGCAGATAGTGGATCCGGCGCCGGGGAAGCATGCGGGGCTGGCGAGGCCGCGGGCGATGCGGCCGGGGACGCGCTGCCCAGCGGAGACGGCAGCGTCGCGTACACTGTGGGCCGCGGGGGCTGGTACGAAGGCGCATATGAATCGCTACGAGGGTTGTAAAAGGGCGAATCATCAGCGGAGCAATCCAGATTCGGAGAGTACGGCGTCGCAGCACCGCAGGAAGGCGCGTCATCACTGGGCCGGTAAGCGGGCGCCACGGGCGCGTACACCGTGCGGCGCGGGGGCTCGGCCTCGGGCCGATGGTGCGACGACGGAGCGTACGCGTCCGACCAGCGCGCCTTACTCGGCGTGAAGTCTCCTTTCACGTACAGTTGTATCGGTCGCCGGAAACCTTTGCTCGCATGCTGAGGAACACCCAGTATGCAACACTTGCTGAATCCGACTTCGGGTGACAGTAAGTAATCTCGAAATTTGTTCGGGAATAGCTCAATCGAGTTGAAGTTTTCATATATTGTAGGCTGAAACAAAAGATAAATAGCCATTAGTCAACTATTGAAAGCTTACGCAACATTTTTAAAAGCTTTTTACAAAGAAGTAGGTAGATACATACCGTTAGACGCTTCTTTTTCTTATAACTAGCCCAGTTTTGAGCTTCTAGCACCAGTTTCCCGCCGGGGCGTAGATCTGCAAACATTTTTCGGAAGGCACGCTTGAGGCCCGCGTCGCCCCAATTTAAATGCATCCACTTGGTGGTAGATAGGCACAGGATCAGATCAAACTGAGGACTGTCAGGGCCGCTTCCGACCGCAACTTCCTCGCGAGGAACATAATTCCCCTGAAACATATTAACATAAGATTTAATACCATTATTTATAGAAGTGACAAACAGCATCTTGCGCACGTAAGATCGACATGTCGTGACATGTCATGTTGCGCAACAAGACGAAATAATCGTGAGTAAGTAAGTACAAGCATCAGAAAAGTAGGTAATACTTCAACATTTATAATGATAGTTTATTTCGTCATAGGATGCAATGAGTGCATGACACGTACCTGCTTAAACGTAACATTGTAGGGGAAAACAGGCGGCGTGACTTCTGCAGTCGAGTCGCCAAGGGGCCCATACAACATGGACATCGACATAGGGAAGAAACATTGGCCATGCTCTTGTTTCTGAACTGCCTTCCTATTCTTTCGAGGTCTCCGTATCTTTCTCCCTGGAAGGACCTTTTTCAAGTCTTCGTGCTTATCGAGTTTCTGATCAATGCAACAGTCTTCACACTTCTCTTCCTTACATTTATCACAATCTCCTTTTTTATCGTCGTCCAAGTCTATTTTCTTGTCGTCATCCCTCTTTGGTTCGACTGGAACTGGAATGAAGGACCTTAGATTCTTCCTTGCTCTCCCTGAAATAAGATAATATTTTTATGTAAGACCTTGGTGTTTCACTCTGAAGTTTGTAAAACTAAAATATATTTATGTACATCTCTCTCTTGCCATAATGTAAAGAATACTTCCCTAAGTTAGCAGTTTAAATTAAATTATATTGATTTTTTAATTATCTAATCAATTTTTTTTTATAAATAATAATAAATTGAAAAAGCTTTTCTTAGTATCCTTTTCATGTTTATGAAAACCACTAACACAACATACAGTACTATGACAAGTTCTACTTATATTCTACAAAATGACAAAACCATGACATTTTCTGAATCACATAGTATTTGAAATAATTGTATTGCAGCCAAAAGTGAATACCACCTAATCAGGTTAAATCAGTGACCTATATTTGCAAATGTATGCAATTTTATATTTATTATTTGTGGTAAATTGTATGTTTCTGGTAATAACATACCTATGAGCACTGGATCAATGTCCATCCCCACAACTGACCGGGCCCCCAGCGTCCGTGCCACCGCTATTGAAATGTGGCCAACATTACATCCAATGTCCAGTACATCTTTGTTCTGGAAGAGATGCCTGTGCATCTCAAATACTTGCAACCGAATATCCATCATAGCATTTAAGTTTCGGTAACCATAATACCTGTAACATTAAACCATACATTAATTATCAAAATCTGACATAAAGACCATAAGATACTTAGTTGCTCTCCTTGGAAAATATTTTTTGAATGGTTAAGACATATTTATTCATACTGTACATAATAATAATGAATGACAAAAGATTGATTTAGAGGTCAAGCTGTTGTCATGCAAATCCTTTCAGCTGGCCAAATAACTCACAAAATGGAGAACTGTTCAGAATGTTGTTCTTGTTTTTTTATTGTTAACTTCTCTCTCCCCTAGCTCAAGCAAAACCAGTTACTAACCTGTCATAATTTCCATACTGATATCTTGAATTTTTAGGGTGAAATGTTGGAAGCTTCTGGTCTTCATCGGAAATACTCTTCAGTTTAGTGCGATGTGGTGACGCAGGGCGCTCTGGCGGCGCTGTCCGCTGTTGAGGTCGCGCTCGCATCCATGCTCCCGGTTGAGGCACTACTGGACTTACTATTTTATCTAATGAATCCATCCTACGCAACTTCTTCGGATCTTTGACTTTCTGAGAATTATTATCACTGTCACTACAAGATCTTTTGCGTGACTTACATGCAGATGTGGATGGTTCCGGAGGTGGAGGCTCTTTGATCCCTTCCTCTACTACTTCAGGAGGCTCCTCAGTAACTGGAGATGAGTTGTCAGTTGTACGTCGCCTTAGCCTTGCCTTCTTGCGTGGCTTCCGTTGCTGCATCTCTAGTCTCTTCTCATACTCCTCATTATCTAATGGTTCCATTAAATTCAATGGATCCCTTATGTTTGGAGGAATAATTACATCAATCTTAGCCTTATGCCTAGGTGGAGTGGGTAAAGGTGAAGATTCTGGAGTAACAGCATTCATAGCTCTATTGATATCCTCATCCTGAAGACTATTCAAGTTAAGAGGATCTGATATATTTCCACCAAGCAAGAATTTAGTAGGTGGTATAAAAGCTTCTTTGCGTGGTCTCTTATGTGGTAGGAAAAACTTAGAGATTGATGGAAAGCTCTGAGCTCTCTTCCTCCCTTGTTTAAATTTTGTAGAAATGTAGTTCACACGCCGTATGGTACTCCTATCAGGGTTATCCTTGGCAGGTGTATGACCCTTTTTGCCGTGCCGAAATTTCTTTTTCGTCTTTTTTGAAGTACCCACACCCGAAACATCACCTTCTTTGGAAGTGTTTGCATCGCACGAGTTTAAAGCACTGGTCTCGTTAACATTTGATGATGTCTCGGTAATATCGCCTAGTTCACTTTCCGATATCTCACCAGCTGTTTCATTATCAGCATTGTCAACCACGTTGCTTTCACAAGCAATCACATTTTCTTCCGGACTACCCATTACGTATGTGTACTGTAGCAATAACTACATGATAAAACAATAAATCATATAAAAAGTCAAATTTACCGCCACTTCACTTCTTGCAAAATCTACAAGGACATCCGTCAATGGTGATAAACAGTTTAACAATGCGGTTTGTTTTTATTATTACTTGCCACTGAGATGTACACTTAATCGATAGAAGAAAGCTTTAAAAGGATTAAAATAAAATATTTCACTTTACACTTAAACACGCAATGATAACTATCCACTTTTCAAAATTATACACAGCACTTCGTACAATACTTTGATAGGATAGCAATGGCAATTTGATTTCATTTGTTTTAGTTTTCATAGACAAGTGTGACACCGATGGGAAGTTAACCTAGATATCTGATTGGACAAAACTCAGATGGAATGACTATGTGACCAATCAAAAATAGGGTCAGAGCCCGACACTTTTCCGCTTTCATGAGGAAATTGAAGGAATAAGAACAAACTAGAGCTGCCAGCCTAAAAAAATATGACATTTACTGATATTCTCACTATACTTACTAACTAAATTTGATAGCATAAAGAGAACAAAACTTTAAATGATTACTACTGTTTAAACTTTTTTACGCATAAATTAATCTGCATATTTACCAAAACGAACGAATTTTTTTAATCAATTACTTGGTATATCGCAAATTTGCAATTTACATGGAGGGAAAAAATATTTAAAATGTCTTTATCTTATAGTTGATAGTAACGTAAAGAGCCCGAAATCACATTTTTCAAAGAAAATACAAGACAGTATCGTTAATTACTAGAAAAATACATATACTTGCTAAAACAAAAAATATAAACAAACATGTCGCTGCGCAAAAGTTCAGTGCTCACTTTATTGCTATGGCACCATTAGCTCGAGATCATGAATGCTGATTTTCAGCATTAGCCAATTTGAATTTTGCATATTAGTAAATAAAAAAGATTTAACTTGGGTGTATGTATGGAGCACAATATTTTTTGGATTACATTAGAACGATAAAATAATAGATGCTAACTTTTTTTTAAATCTTATATGCTTTCTCAAAAGACTGTTTGTTAAAAAAATATTATTTGATGCTTGTAACATTGGTGTTTTAAAGCGTCACAAATAGAATTTAAATTTTGAATCAAAAATATCCGTTGTCGTTCGTGTTGACAAATGATTGTTTGAAATCAACGGAAGACGTTTAATTAAAGAAAAATGTAAGTAATTACTGCAGGGATAGTTAGATAAACTATTTATTATGATGCTCTCATTATATTCTTAGTGGTATAGTTCTCTTTCCTGTGTCTTCATAAAATTATCTGTTTTATGCATCAGAAAAATATTCAGTGCGTAGTGACCAGTATTTTTTGTAATGTAAGTTATAATTTGTATTGCAGAATCGTCTTTATTTCGTGGGCTACGGGTAAATTGGCGTTTACATTGTGATGAATAAGGTGAGCAATAACATAAACATTCATTATTTACATTCATTATTTATATTTTAAAACTTTGATTCTCCAGTCATGGTGGTATTACTCTATATAAGTAAACGCAGGCTGAATACAGTGCGTTTGTATTATGTGTACAATAAATTTAACTACGAAATTAATAAAATAAAAAAATTATGGGATAAATCGACATGTTTTTAATAGTCATAGAAGAAGGTAGGTGTCTAGGCTATTTTTTAGCATATTTTGATAGGATAGGAAGATAGGTATTATGGTGTCATGACTATATTCGAGTATTTTGAAACGCTTGAATGAATTGAAAATTGCATATTGATTGATATGTTAATTCTTACTGTTTCCTGACAAGGATATTACAGTTAGTAAACATTATGTTGACAAACTCATTAAAAACATTGCCTACAAAGACAGCTATCATGATTATGTATACTTACCTGACCTAGATGAAGAAGAATTTCTATACTTACTACTTACTCATTCTTTCATTCCAGATGTCTCGAATACCTAAAATGCCACCGGTGACTGCTACAAAAGAAAACAAGCCAGGCTTGCCAAATCGTCGTCCATTGGCTAGAACCTTGGTCAGCACCCTGAGTGACGCTGACAAGAAGGATCTTTTAATTAATCATACAAAGCCTGCGCGCACTGGCCCTTCTGCAGTTGTTCCAGCTCAACGTCTCAAGAGATCAGCAACTGCACCCTCTGCTGTTGCTGTTCCGCCTCCAAAAGTAAATAAAGTTGAAAAGAAGGTGACTGTGGCTCCCAAAATAGCACCATATGACTATAAAGCAAGATTTAATGATTTGCTAGGTAAGCACAAAAATATGAAAAGTGAATTTGACGACCTGAAGGAAAAACACATTGAAGTTTCTGACAGTTATGAGAAGACAAAGGATTCTGTGCAAAGCTATGTGACTGAGAGGGATAGATTAAAAGAGAATCTCTTGAAATCTTTATCAGATTTAAGAGAAAAAACTGCAGAATATGACAGAATGAAAGTAGATTATGATATTCAGAAAATGGAAAATGAAAACTTGCAGCGCAAAACTGTGTTATTGGATGAAATCACCACTAGCCTGAAACAAAAGACAGCTGAACTAGATAAGGTTCAGTCTGAATTTGATGCCTTATCTCGACAACATAAAAGTCTGCAAGAGGAGACAGAAGCACTGAGAGTTTTGACGGATAGTCTTAAGAAGATATCTATACAATTTGACAAATTGCAACTTGACTATAAAGAAGCTCAAGAGACTATTGCTAAATATAAGTCAGAATCAGAAATATTGCACAATATTTTAGCTGCCATGCATAAAGAGCAGAGAGACCTAAGAAATACTATTCAAGATTTGAAAGGTAATATAAGAGTTTACTGTAGAATTAGACCTCCACTGGAATCAGAACAATCAAAGCCAAGGTATAATCTCAATGTGCTTGATTCTTGCTCTATAGAAGTAGAAAAAGTTGAACTAATGAATTCCGTCAGAAAAGGAAAGCCACAACATGGTTTCACGTTTGATGGTATTTTTACACCACATGCAACTCAAGAAGATGTATTTGCTGAGGTTTCTACTATGGTCCAATCAGCATTGGATGGATACAATGTATGCATTTTTGCTTATGGTCAAACAGGTTCTGGTAAAACATACACTATGGAAGGTGGCTGTGGAACTGAACAGTACGGAATCATACCAAGAGCTTTTAACATGATATTCACAAGTATGGAAGATTTGAAACGCATGGGTTGGGAGGTAACCATAAAAGCATCTTTCTTGGAAATATATAACGAAATTATTTATGATTTGCTGAACTCCAGCAAGGATCAAGTAACTCATGAGATAAAAATGAGTGATTCTAAAGGAACTGACGTGTATGTATCGAATTTGAAGGAAGAGGAAGTTAAGAATTCACATGATTTTATCAGGCTGATGATATTTGCCCAACGTAACAGACAAACAGCTGCTACTCTAAATAATGAGCGCAGTTCTCGATCACACTCAGTCGCCCAAATCAAAATATCGGCAATACATGAAAAACGTAAAGAGAAATATACAAGTAACCTGAATTTGGTGGATCTGGCTGGTTCAGAGAGTGGGAAAACCACACAGCGCATGGAGGAGACAAAACATATTAACAGGTCTTTATCAGAGCTGTCTAAAGTTATCTTATCACTGCAGACCAACCAGTCCCATATACCTTACAGAAATTCTAAGCTCACCCACTTGCTGATGCCCAGTCTAGGAGGCAATTCGAAAACACTTATGTTGGTAAATATCAATCAATTTGATGAATGCTTCAGTGAAACACTTAATTCCTTACGTTTTGCCACGCAAGTAAATAACTGTAGAGTTGTTAAAGCCAAGAAAAATATAACCATGTTTGACTCATAATCCCCACCATGAAACAAAATGTTATTTTTGATATTGACATGATCAGTTATTATTAATTTTATCTAGTTATCTAATAAAATAGAAAAAAAGTTGTTTAAAACTTTAGGAAAGAGTAGTCATAGTTATTATGATGATTTAAACCTGAATTATGGCTACATTTTTTAGACATAAATATTTTTCTTTTTCTCCTATTGTTAGCTTTTATGTTTTAGAGGTGTTTGTACACCGCTTTAATCAGTAATTTGACTAAAATAGTGTCTGTTTTATTTAATTTTCAATAGCTTTACGTCAAACAATTATGTTATATTTAGTTTTCTGTGTAATTGTATTGTTTATTGAATATAATATACGTAAATTAGTGAACTACGTTATTTTATTGCAGTTTTCATACTCAGGTCACCCAGGTACTTACCCAAAGCTTACCATCCTCCAAGATCGTGCAGTGGCTACCATTCTCAGCTTGAGTTTTAAATGATTAGTCTTTACCAAAACAAACGTTCGCATAAATTAAGTTTGAAAGAGCGCCTTTCTTGTGTCACAATTTGTTATGTAAATCTACCGCTAGATGGCAGTAGCAGTTCGAAAATTTGAAAGACGTTTTTGGTATTTCACGTTTTGGCGCCACAGTCGGCTGAAATAAATTGGCTTTTTTCGCCGAATGAGTAAAGGGGGTGGCACATAATTTTCGTTACACTTTATACTACTTTTCAATATCTGATCTGAAACCTCTCGGCAGTCACACATGTACTCGGCACACGTCTTTTCTTAAAAACTTAGTTACACGTTTTTTCTTAAAAACTTAGTTTTGAACCAGAAGATATTCGTTCGACGTCGTGTAGCTGATTTCCTTCGGGATTATTCCCGTGTGAGTAACATCATATATACACCTCCCTAAAAGTACCCAGCGACATCTATGCACAAAATAGAGGAGCGTTTTAGACATTTGATTCGGGAATCGAACCCACTAACTCAAGGCACTTGTAATCATTTTGAACAACTAGGTAAAATAAAAATAGTATCTACTTGCTGGTTACTACTTAATGCTTAGATACTTAAGTAGGTATACAAGTACTAGTAATATGCACCATCACATAAATATAGCTTATGTACTAAAATATTATTTATTATTGAATGTCGGGTTGATATTTGATGTAAATAAATAATTATGTCACCTACTGAACATTGTTTTCCAACAGGAGTAAACGGTAATTAGATGATTTACCCATTTATTAACTCCATAAAATTCAGTTTACATTGAAGTTGGCTCTATGTCCAAGAGATGTCGCTACGTGTAAGAAAACTGACGTCTTTATTTCTATTGCTTTTACATGTAGTAAACCCTACGCACAACGACACACATTCCTAGGGGTGATTTATGTTTTACTACTGATTTGTTAATTACGTAAGTTTATAAAAAAGTTTTACTTAGGCTGTGCTACAGTCTTTAAGGAGTACTATATCAAGAGATATCTACAAATAAACCCTGGAGGTTTTAAACCGAGTTTAAGTTTAAAACCTCTCTATAATGGGTGCTGCCAGCAGTCCCTCTTCTCACAGTTAAGAACTATTAACTTTAATATATTTTTTTTTGCATTCGACAATCGTTAAAATCAATTTATGATAGGTAGGTATATATTGCAAAAAGTACTAGTCTTGGCAAACAAAATAGCCCTCTCTGCTATATTTCTGTTTTAATATGATACAGGTTGTAGTTGACCTTTGCTGAAGTGGCGCTTGTAAAGCCTCTAATCATCGAAGCTTTTTCATTAATAGCCATTACTGAAAAGCTTTGGTTCGGACTAAAGGCCAATCTTATAATTATTAGATAGGTATCTTGAAAAGGATTTCTTGCTAGACTACAGTCTCCTATGGATTATTTTCGAAATGTGCCTACCTAATTGTGCCTGCCGAAACAAGTAAGTATTGAATTAATTTTGCTTACTTAAATATTTATGTATTTATTAATGATGTGTTATATTTATAACTATTGTATTATGTAACTATAGTTTCTAGCGTTGTAGAAATTCAGTGTGTGATAAGTTGGTAGGTAGGAACCAAATCGTTCAATATATCAAATTTTCACCCGGGGCATTAGCCTTGAATAATCTATTGTAATGTAACACCTGCCATGTCGTGATGCGTCTCTCTATGTTCACATTACAATATTTTATCTGACTGCCACATTTTTTAATATTGTAACTCTTTCATCTACTTACGTAGTGCCACAAATGTATGCCATGTTAGGTAAGTTAGAATAAAGAAACAAGTTTTATAAAATAATCATGACGAGTTTATTTAAATAATTAAGGACTAGATCGAAACAAGCGATTAATCGCAATTCTCTTTCATATGCAAATTATACATAGTTTTTATGATACATCTCTCCGTGCGTCGAGTCGGGCGCTATTGGAGCGGTACGGGGCGCAAGGCCAGGCGAACGGTGACAACGACCGAGGGGCGAGTCCAGGGTCTCTCGCCAGATTGTGTTCAACGTGATACATCCGGTTCCGTCGCCGCTTCATCGCCCGGCGTCGGAAGTTTTGCTCTTTCTATAGTGTCTATGAGTCTATCCAAGCCATAAAGAAAACCTTCTTCGTGGTTTCCTTGTTGCCACTCTGCACGATGGTCTACCTGTAGACCTTCCGGTACACTCCTAGTCTTAGCAAAGTCGATCAGCCAGGCACCAACACGTTCATCATCGTAAATGATGAATATACTGCTACCGACGATTTCATGAGTTTTGAAGAAATCTGAATTTTCGAAAAGATCTCTGATTTCACGAAGGCGAGTGATGATGGCACGACGCGCCTTTTCATTGTTGCCTAGGAACCTTGCAACGGTGTTAGCGATTTGATGAGGTTCGCGAATTTTTTGCAAGTCAGTGAGGGGTGGCTCTCCTGGGACCTTCACAGCTTCGATCCTGAAGCCTTGCTCGGCGGACGAGGATCGCTGTTCACGGAACTGCATGTAACGTAGTTTAGTTACGGCGCGTGCGGCGTGCTCTGCTTCGGTGGGAGCTTTGGGGTCCAAACGCACCATCTTCTCGTACAGGTCCGTACGAGCACGAGCGTTGCTTACTTCATCTTCGAGGAAAGTGCGGGTGCCCATTTTGACATCCATAACATGGGGATCTCTGAAGCCGTGCAGCAAGTCTTGCAGTTCAATGAAACGTTCACCGCCATATTCCAATTCACGGTAGTAGCGCGGGATAGCAGAGCGCATGTGGGGGCAGGCAGCGAGCGCTTCATACGCGTCCCGCTCGGGGTTGTGCGCGGGGTGGTCCCCGGCAGCACGACGCTTCCATACGGTGCCCGGGCCTGCGGGTGCCAGGGAGCCGGGGTGGCCAGCTAACTGGAACCATTCCGAAGAGCGAGATTTCAGCAACGCATCAGATGCGGGTGCTGATAATTCTAAAGCATTCTGTAACAAAAGAAAGATAACGATTAATTACTAATTCCAACTTATCTCGTTTTTAGGATGAACCTTCTGTTATTGGGGATTTGTAAACTACATTACAAGATTTTTTATTTAACATTACAATTTTTAATTTAATTTAATTTCTTTTCGAATTTTTTTTCAACTTCTAATAAATATGCAATATAGGAAGGTTGAGAGAAAAAATATAAAAAAAAATATATTAGGTACTTACAATAGCTAAGAATTTGAGTAGCTCCGAGGGTTGAGGGGTGGGTGTAGCGGGTGCCGGAGTGGAGGCGGGTGCTTCAACAGTGGACGGGGTGCGCCGCCAACGTTTGAACAGCGCACCTTCATCTTTGCTGCGCCAGCGTTCCTCCTCTTTACCAGGCACTGCGACCTGAGAACAACGAAAAACACTCGTTTAAACACCTGGTCACACACCATGGTACACTTTGGGGATATTCACTTTCACACAAATTTTCACTGATCACACTTCGGTGACACGTACCGCTAAAATCTTATTGGCAGCGTAGAGTAGTCCGCCAGGGCCGAGGCGACTCAGCACCGACTGGCGGGAGACACTGTTCATCTTGCTGGTTACGGTCATGGCGAACGAGTGTGTGCGTAGAAGGCGCAAACACGAGTGAGCGATAGAACAATTGGAGCGCGGGTAGCGAGCGACGAGCGTGAGCTGTGGGCAGCTGCTAGCCAGCGAGTGATGTAAGTGGGAGGGACGCCGTCTGTTTTATAGAGACCTCGGCTTTCTCGTGACGTCGGCGCCGCGCGCCGCCCGCTACCCGCGCGTCCCCTGCGCTGCCCATGAGTTTTCCTAGCGTCTCTGCTGAAATGCATTGATTTATCGACCTGCGGGATAGATGCATGTCGTGATCGATGTTTACTCGCGCTTATACTGCAAGTTTCAATTCGTATTCCGTACGGACTAGACAACGAATATTAGTTATAGGAACTAGCTCTAGCACACAATTGCGAATCTTCAAAACGTTGTAAATATTGGTGTCAAGGACGTGTGTTCATTATAAGTTTAAATTACTAACATACCTCATTGTTGTCATTTGCTAATTTGTTTTGTTAATTTTTGACCACAAAATAAATCGTGAATCGTATGGAAACTCTTATAGGTACTAGTGTGAAATAGAAACTGCCAATTAGTGCAATGTTAGAAAATATATTTTTGCTATTCCTAGCTAGCCACAAAAATCAGTCTTCTTTTTTGTTCAACTTAAAAATTGCAATGTTATTGTGTAAAGTCCCAGCGAGATTTTCATGCTACATATGTACACATTACAGTAGGTATTTCGACATACAATCTGTTTATCGTAGTCAAAATATAACTTCGACCATTATATTTCTTGCGAGTGTAACTAAGTTCGTACATATGTATAATTGGGGAATCGACTTTTCGTCAATTTTATTAAGCTGAAAAATGATGTGGACATTTTGTCAAATTTTTGGTACAAATCGACAAATTGTGCCTGAACCGACGATTTGACTGAAAGGCTTTTACCAAAAAATAATTATTAAGATAAATATAATAGCAAATATATAATACATTATTGCATTTACATATTAGTATTCCTTTCGTAAACAGATCTAAGGACCACAGATACGTATAAAAACTTCTTGGCGCCACAAATCCTAACATAAATTATGTATGCTGTAGCTATACCTACTGTATTTATACGTATATCTACTTATTTTAATTTTTTCCCTCGTTCAGCTCATTTTTATTTCAGTTCGGTTTTCTCATATCTCAGAATACCTATATTTTCTGCGTAAGAAAAATATCGCTGTATTTATTTGGGCGTTTTATTGTTTTTAAAGGACATTTTTAAAAGTTTTAATTAGTATTGGTTTATGTGCTTGAATAAATAGGCTGTTGATACTAACCGTAGCTATGATTTTTTAAAGTGTGAGAGAGCCATGCTATGGCATGAATTGGTCGACGCGATCGGTAGTATCACGGCCTCACAGAAAACCAGCGTGAAACAACCACAGCGTTGTGGGCGGCGCCGATTGCTTACCGGTGATCCGTTTAATTGTTTACCGTCATATCAAGAAAAATCATCTATCTAATGAAAAGTAAATCAACCAGAAGTAATCTGTTAGGTACATTTTTTTTTTTTTATTTAGGCTCCAAAAGATAAAATTCCAAAAACTTGAAATGTACTTATATGAAATTATTTAAACATTTTTTATTGGCTTCTTATTGTTACGTCAACAATACGTGAGAACGAAATCTTGTTTGGCAATAGAGGTTAATTTCTACGCACGAAAATCACGAAAAATTAGTTTAAGATTAGTCATGAAAAGTACCTAAGGCTGAAAGAATGACGTCATTTTGAATGTCCTTAGTTGATGACGCAGGGGGAAGGAAGACCAAAGGAGGAGGCGGAGCGCGTGAGGGAACTATCCTCCTCGCGCCCCAGCCGCCGCAGAAGGCGACATTCCGGACGTCGGGGATCGAGGGATGATCTCCGGCCACCGTAAGCGCGGGTCTGCGGACGGCGAGTAAGGGTAGCTCGCCGCCCGACCAGAACTGGACCCGAGCGTACGGCGCGTAGCGTTCCGCGCGCGCCTCAAAGAGCCAATAGACCACCACAGTCGGGGCCCTAAAGGGCTGATGTTTAGCCGGGGCTGCGGGGTAAGCGCAATGAGGCACCGCGACCTCGGCCCAGAGCAGGAGAAGGAACGGGGGGGTTTTTAGTCAGTAAGAGTCTGACACTCTCTCTCGCCTTACCCTGGGCGGGAGAAGTCATTGGATGATTTTCCCCTGACAAAAAAAAAAAAAAAAAAAAAAAAAAAAAGGGGGAAGGAAGACGTTGAACAGTGTGTAGTGTCGGGCTAACAAAACAAATGACGGTGGCCATCCAGGCAAGCACGACCGCGACCACGGCGCACGCGCACTACGAGTTAGGCTCAAAGACGTGACGTGGGACACCATTTCATGTCATCTAATTACGTGCAATGTCCTAATGACTCTTAATTACTTTAAATAAAGTCGTTTTAGATGCTAAACAATCGTTATTTAAATTGATATACTCAGATGGGTAATTGATGAAGCCTTCATTAAAACATTGTAAGTAATTATGACGCACTCTACTTGAAGGTGAAGTTTTGTTGCGTCTATTACGTACCTACATGATAGCTTAAATATCTAATTCTGTCACTGAAAGATAAACTTAAATTATAATTGTAGTGGGACTATTTTTGTGTGACGTGGTACTGTGGAAGTGGAACAATGAGTTTTATACTCAATGAATGACAATGAAAGTTGAGAAAGTGTGGGAGAGTTGTAATGTCGCTAAGTGAGGGACCTCGGTGCGTCAGTACGCAAGTACCGGCTTGATGTTATGTAAACAAATATATTCAAATAATGGTGGGCGGAGCACTACTCAATTTCTGTTATGAGACCTCTGTGACCTTAAGTAATTTGGCAGCAAAAAAATGGTATTTCAATATTTTAAGGAATTTAGCGTTAGGCACGTAAAATTTGAAAACTAAGTTTACACATAAAGTTAGATTTTCATTGTCATTTTCTGAAACTTTTTCCCCAGAATTGCAAAGAAATAAATATGAAAAATAAAGCCAAATAACACCTTAAAAAAAATCTTCTGTATCTGCATTTTTATAACCTATTATTTTTAAAAGTCCGTTATACAAAAATCATTAAAATAGGAATGTGGATCGCGTTCACGATAACACGCCTACGAGTTACATAACAGTAAAGTTAACTATAGAACAGTTAATATTTAACCAAGATACGGACAAACTGACAAACTGATACTGAAATCCTGGGTTATTAATCTTTTAAAAGAAACTTTATTAAAGCGAGCTATAGTAGGAACCGACTTTCTACTGATATAAACGAAAGAACATTATTTTATTAGAGGAATCTAATGGTAGATGTCATTAATGGCTGATAGTCCTTTGGCTATCAGAAATACTATTACCATTATCTCATAATAAATGTTTTTAGTTATCTAAGACACATTGTATGTACCGACGGAACGCAGCAACGATAAACTTAACGAGAGTTAATTAAAATTATCTGTACCCTAACTTAGAATTTTAATTTTCGTATCCTAAAATACAAACTAAGCAGTTTGCTTAACATTGTTTAAAAGCGGTTGATACCATAGAGTCCAGACTACAACCATAATAATATTACTTCTAAGCTGGCTGGGTATAAATTCGAATCGCAATTCAAAATTTAAAATCAAACATCGAATGTAGATGTTATACTAGTATAAAAATTACAGCGGAATAACTGATCTACCTACATCTGCGACCAAATACCTATATACATATATTATCTACTTATACATTGTCAATTTTTGCCAAAATTCAACATATGGCAGGCGGATTGCGATAGGTATTCATATAAAAATCCTCCAAAAATGTTTAAAAAACAGTTATCTTACTGATTAATCACGCTACGTTTTATAATTATTTAACTTTTGTAAAAAATTTGTTACAGACGTAAGTAAATACATATATTGCACTATGTTCGTAGGTGTGACAGAAACAGTCGCGAAGGTGGCATAGCTTATTCAATGCACGCCACAGAAGCGTGGTCGCAAAGGAGTTTTATTGAAATTGATACAAAATGATATAAATAGAGCATCAAGTGATATGATTTGTGATTGTGAATAATACAGTGTTCGTATAGTGATGCAGCAATCTAAATAGCACGAGGTTCCGTGATGATACTTTCAGCCAGTCAATAGCCTTAAAGTCAACTGTTTTGTTTAGCTAACATGTTTCGTTATGTCGATGGAAGTACTTATATCTTGTCAATAATAAAAGTACAACGTAGAATGATCTAGATATTTTGAGATGACGTCTTGGGCTAAGTTTAAGGATTTCCAGAGAGTATTTCTGACGCATTGGGAATTAACGCAACTTTTTTAACCCTATCGAGTTGGTTGTTTGGCATTGTATCGATCGTCGAGGATATCTAAAGAATTACTCAGCCTGTCTTCTATCAACAATATATACTTTTTGGTATAATATAATAAAGTTTGGTTGATCGAATTCCTGAATCACTACCTCCTCCCAGCAAGTTCCCGATAGACTTCTGAAGCAAAGAGTGCTTAAAAATGGTACAGAGCGGTCATTCGGACAGTGAAAAACAGGCTCTAAACATCAAGCCATAGAATACAAGTTTATATGCCAATTTATTTGAAACGAACACGAAAACTACAAATTTTTCAGAATGTATACAATAAATGATTTTCCGCGATATTTATGGTATTTCCATGTCACTCATTTTACTGCTAAGATATGTCCGGGTCAAGGGGTTAGTTAGAATTTGCGTGTATTGTTTATATTTAATTCCACTTAGCTCTTCGGCCGTCAGTCTTTTGGAAAATACTGGTTGGAAACTACGACTGAATTTCCAATCTGATAAATCACCGGAAAACAAGCAATAAGCAAGTTTAATATCTATGAACTTTGTTCAGGGGTGTATGAATAATACAGGTGAGATGAATAAGACTCAACCGCGAATTGTAAGCCACATTGTCCCGCCAGAGGTCAGGTCAGGGTCGCTAGTAGAAACTTATTGTTGGTTACTGCGCTATTCCA